TGTCTTTTCCCTAGCACCATCAATACTGATTCTCTACCATGAGTAAAAAGCACCTGACAAGAGTACTTTGATGGATGAAGGAGCCTAAATTATCATGAGACACTGTCTATATCTCCAGTTAGTCTGGCTTCATAGAATGGAAACTGGACTGGGAAGGACAACAGACTATGTTCTAGGACTGTCCTAAGTCTCCACATTTAATCTCCCTTGTTTCAGACAAATTGAAGGAAAAGACCAAACATCTAAGGACAAGGCTATGTAATAACCATTGCTCTTCTTATTTCAAAAATAAGACAAAGTCAGACTGTGAATGAAAGGATCCAAGCCCAGATCTGTTCAACTACAAAACCCCTGAAATTCAGAGCCCTCTCAGTTTTCTGGTTCCCTTCATCTTCCCATCCTCCTTCTCCTTAACATTGCACAAACTTTTACCTCCAGCACCGGATACCTAGCAAATCCTGCAACTAAATTATAAATTATTTTTTTAAAGATTTTTATTTACTTGAGAGAGAGGGAGAGAGGACGTGTGTGCACAAGTGGGGGGGGGCAGAGGGACAAGCAGACTCTGCGGAGTATGGAGCCCCACATGGGGCTTGATCCCAGGACCCTGAGATCAAAACCTGAGCCGAAGTCAGACACTTAACTGACTGAGCCACCCAGGCCCCTAAATTATAATTTTTAACCACAAGATTCAGCATATTCTCTCTTCCAACGTATTTAGAACTTTCAAAGAAGATGGGAGCCTGCCCAAGTGGCCAAGGGTAGCACTTAGCAAGCATGGACTCCCTCTAATGCCTGCACTGGGCAATTCATGTCATTTCAGAGTATCCTAAAAAAACAATCTGTGGTTGGGATCCTAACCTTCTTACCACGGTTCCCTTTAACAATCTGGAGCAGTTTCTTTAACTTTTCTTAAAATAACACTTTTGGGGAGCTTGGGTGGCTCAGTTGGTTGAGTCTCCGACTCTTGATTTCAGTTCCACTGGTGATCTCAGGGTTCTGGGATGGAGCCCCGAGGCGGGCTCTGTGCTCAGTGGGGAGTCTGCTTGGGATTCTCTCCCTCTCCTTTTGCCCCTCCCCCTGCTCGCTCACTCTCTTCCTCTAAAATGAATAAATAAAAAAAAAAGAGGAAGGAAAAAATAACTTTCAAATTCATAAAATATACATAATTTCAAAGGACACTAATTGCCAATTCTTAAATGCAGTTATTAAAATATTTAAGAAATAAAACTTGTGATATAGAAATGTACAGGTATTTAAACCCACTAAATAACAAGATGTAACAGTTATTCTATTAACTACTATACTTAAAAAATAGTGATATTGAGCTAATGGGTTAATTATTATATTGCTATACATGTGCACTGGAATGGAACAATTAAGTAAATGGATGAAAGATTGTTGGAGCCACATTTCTTACTATTATTGTAGGAATTCATGGATAAGCAAGGGGAGGGAGCTAAAATGATCTATGTGTTAATGGATTAGACTTGAAGACATTAGTATGAACTCATATGTAGCTCAATATAAGTACTGATAGTTACATATAGAAATATTTATGGATATATATACACATACATGGGTTAGTAAAAATATATATTTCTTTGCTGTCTCAGAGAGCCTAAACAAATGGTACCCCCCTTAGCAACCACCACACCTAAAGCCCAGATCTTGGTATTAATCATCCTCCAATAAAAGGAATCAGGGCTTCTTGGAGAAATGGCTGATTCTAGGACCGGGGTAGGAAAATACAAGATGGGCCTGGAGCACCTTGTAATGCCAGAAAGTAACAAAGTAATAACACACACCACACACATCAAAGGGAGTATGTCAAAGCTACATAGGAGCCAACACAAGGAACTCGGAATGGCTAAAGCTGGAACAACTTGAACAACAAAATAAAGTGGTATTGGATTATAACTCAAAGCATAAAGTAAATATGGATGAGTCTACACTGCTGTAAATAAATAATTGCATAAATTAATATTTAGGGGAGAAAAGACAATCTCCTGTGCAGAAGGATTCCAAATACTTTATGTGCATACTCTGCCCTCAAGAAGGTGGAGCATAACTCTCCACTCCTTAGGTGTGAGCTTCACATAGTGACTTCTTTCCAACAAGTACAGTATGGAAAGGATGGAGGAGTAACTTTACATTGGAGAAATCTGAGATACTTCCCCAGTCAGGTGATCAAGGTCAACATCAATGGTTGAAAATCATATTGATAGTATATACTCCTGATGTGATGTTATGAAAATGGCACTTTATCTTGCAGTTGTCCTCCCAATAAACCATAACCCCAGTCTTATCATGAGAGAAGCATCAGACAGATTGCAGTAGTGAGGCATGCTACAAAATACTTGACCCTGGGTGGCTCAGTTGTTAAGCATCTGCCTTCAGCTCAGGTCATGATCCCAGGGTCCTGGAATCGAGCCCCGCATCAGGCTCCCCGCTCTGCGGGAAGCCTGCTTCTCCCTCTCCCACTCCCCCTGCTTGTGTTCCCTCTCTTGCTGTGTCTCTCTCTGTTAAATAAATAAATAAAATATTAAAAAAAAAACAAATACTTGACCCGTATTCCTCAAAACTGTCAAGGTCAACAAAAACAAGAAAAATCTGGGAAACTATCACAGCTCAGAGGAGCCTAAGGGGACATGATAACCATAGGTAATGTGGTGTCCTGGATGGGAGCCGGGAAAAGAATTGAAGACATTAGGTAAAACCCAAGGAAATTGTACAGACTTTGGTTAATATTAATGTAGCATTATTGGTTCATTAATTGTAACAAAGGTACTATGCTAATGTAAGATTTTTTTAAAAGATTTTATTTATTTATTTGACAGAGAGACACAGCTAGAGAGGAAACACAAGCAGGGGGAGTGGGAGAGGGAGAAGCAGGCTTCCCGCAGAGCGGAGAGCCCAATGCAGAGCTCAGTCCCAGGACCCTGGGATCATGACCTGAGCCGAAGGCAGACGCTTAACCATCTGAGCCACCCATGCGCCCCTAATGTAAGATGTTAATAACAGAGGAAACTGGGAGTGGAATATATAGGAACCCTATACTATCTCCTTAATTTTTTTGTATATCTAAAACCATTCTAAGAATATATAATCTATTAAATAAAACAAAAAAAGGTGATGATGATTTTATTGTTACATCAGAGTAGTGATTTTGAGATATCTATAAAAACTGAAATAGGAAATTATCTGTACTTCTGTTGGTGACAAAGGCACAGGTACTCCTAATATTATTGTGGTTCGTTGTCTGCATTTATATTTAAAGGTTATAGGTTAGTAAGTGCTAAATTTCAGTTATAGGTTAGTAAAACTAAAGATGGAATACTCCCATCCAGATTCTACATACCCTTTGATACAGATTAAGAACTATGGTGATATTAACAGCTTAATTTTATGAAATGGAGGCTCAGAGGCATGAATTAGGTTGCTGCAGCTTCCAAAAAGCATTCATTCTAGGGTCGCCTGGGTGGCTCAGATGGTTAAGCGTCTGCCTTTGGCTCAGGTCAGGATCCCAGGGTCCTGGAATCGAGCCCCACATCAGGCTCCTGGCTCAGCGAGGAGCCTGCTTCTCCCTCTGCCTCTCTCCCTGCTCATGCTCTCTCTCTCTCTCTCTCTCTCTCTGTATCTCTGTGTCTCAGAAGAATAAATAAAATCTTTAAAAAAAAAAAAAAAGCATTCATTCCAGGGCCAAGAATTCTTAATGATTTTTGTTGGAATTCTGTTGCTACATACACTACCTCCCAATTTTGGAACTGCTAAACAGAGAGATGGGAACTCTTCAAGGATCAGATGTGCCTCCCTGGCCTTGTGCAATGCACAGCTTATGCTGCTGTCCAAATCCACAAGATAAAGCTGGCTTGGACCTAGTGAGGGGAATTCCAAAAGTAAGTTAAATGAGGAAACTCCACTCACACTGAACTCTGTCAAAGAACCTCTCTACTTGAAAATGGCTTAACAATGGGAGAAAGAATCGCTGGCTCCACCATAAAAAGAGCAAATCCTTGGCCCTTTCTTCCCTTAACTCCCCAAACTGCTGAGCTGGTTGGCAGAAAGAAAGGAAGGGAGGGAGAGAGAGAGAGAAAGAAGGAGAGAGAAAGAGAGAGAGAGAGGTTAATAGCTGGCGCCAAATTAAAAGAGGTTAAGAAGGGGCTTATATGTGTATTTGCTTACATTATTCCAAAGGCCAATTCTGATAAATCCTTCGGGGGGGGGAAAAAAAAGATACGGCATCTGTTAATGTGGATTCTGCTTCTTGTTTTCCAAATGTTATAGCTATCACCAGAGCAGCCAGCCCAATTGAGGGGTGGGGGTGGAGGGAAGGTGTTACAGGCAACATCTGTCCACTAAATGCACCACTAAACAGCAACAAAATCCTGGGGCCAGCCCTCTCTGTTTCCTCGAGTGCTTTCTTTGATCGGTCCTACTTCTCCACTCCTTTGGGAGTTTCCCGTTCTATTACGTAGGCAAGAGGGTGAGAGGTCCCAGCTTTCATGCTTGTGAGTGCTTTGACTGTGTGTGTGCCTGTGCGTACTTGTGTGTGTGCGTTGGGGGAAAGTGAGGCGTGCTACAAGGGGCTTCCAAAGATCGATTGCCGATTTAAAACATTTCCGGAGTGTTTGAATGTTTATCTTAAAAAGACAATCCCGGTCTCAAATTCAGCGAAATGAACAATACTGATAAGGAAAATGAAGAGGGTGGGAAACCCACACAGTCGAATGGAGCTGTCCATGCAGCGGGCGTGACAGGGGAGCTCTCGGAGGAAAGGCGCTATGCAGAGAAAGTTTCTTTGGCCCTTCTCTCTCGGTTCACAACCCGGCAGGGCTTCCTGCGTAAAAGCATTAATAGAAAAGAAACCTAAAACCCGGACGGGTAGCGGTCGTCGGGCACAGTTTCCAGGAGTCTTTACCCGCTGCCGGGAGAGGTCCCTCTCCCCCCGCGACTGGCACGGAATGTGGTGATCCGGCCCGGGGCGGGGGATGACTTCATGCAGCCGGAGCGCGGCGGCGGGAGCAGCTGCTGCAGCCGGCAGGTGGGGTGGGGGCCGGCGGAGCTGACCACGCACTCGGCCCGGCGCGGTGGCACTGCGGCCCCGGGGCAGCGGGCGCTGGGACTTGCGCTGACTCCATCCGGACAAGGTAAGCAGCTCGGCTATTATTAGCCTCCGCCACGCCGCTCAGTTCTTTCCGCTCGGGTGATAATGGGGTTTGCAATCCACAGAGAAGGGAAATATCCTTGCTGCATTCTGTAATGGGAAAAGGAGCAACAACTGGAATTGAAATGTTAATCAGCCAAGTGCTTGAGATTGGAGGAGCGGTGTTACTGGGCAAACAAAGAAGGCGGTCAGCCTCTATACTCTTAAAGATAGTCGACCGTTTCAATGGCAGACTCGCTTAGACATTGAAGAAGATTCAAAACGTGAAATAACTGGAGTTGCACTTTTATCTTTCTGCTTCAAGCTTCACTTGCTTATTTTGTGGTTTTGGAGCAGCAGGTCCTTGGAGGCAGCTTGGGGAAGTAATCAGAAATCTTTCCTACCTTCCTCTGTCCTCTCCCTTCCTAGGTATCAGAATGGGTCTGTGCCCATTTCAATGTCAAACACCTACTTCAATACTGAACCTTTAGAAAGAGTCTCAGATTAGAGAAGAAACTTCTCTTATCTCCTGGAGTTCAGCTTGGTTTGAGCAGCACTTGTTTCCACCTTCTCCCTTCGTTTACCATCTTCTCTCGTCAGTTACTTCATTGATTTCCCTGGGATGCCGGGTCCATTCACAGGCCAGCTCTTGTCAGCTTCTATTCACAACCTCTGCTCCATGACTGATTTTTGTCAAGGACCTACAAAGGGCATTGCCCTACTACAGTTTTAGTATTCTCTCTGTCTACTGTTACCTGTGTCCTTCCCCCAAATACATGGCACGAAAATTCCTTCTTTTAGCCTAGGACCAACATGGTTCCCGATAACTCCCTTCGCCGTAGTCACTGCGGCTAGAAGAGGATTTCGAGGACAGCGGAATCTGTTGGGGTGTCAGAAAGAGGACCATACTTACATTTTGCAGCCTGTGCATAGGCATAGATGGAAGTACAAATGTGAATGTGTCTATCCAGTTTTTCTTGAAGCTTTTTTTAGTCCCGCTGGGTTGTGAGACACCTACCTTCATAGGATTTGGGGTAGGTCCTCCCCAAAAAGCAAGCAGTGTGTTTGTCCTAGGATTCCCCAGTAACCTCAAAAGAGTTTCCAGAGAGGCTTTCCCCACAGTCATTCAGAAAGCCACTTGAGCTGGCCAATGTAAGCCTCAGGTTATTTGAGCATCCTCAAGTCAATCTTGGCATTTAGGGGTTCTGACCACTTGTTCTAAGATCTCCCCCACAAACCTCTTGCTACTGAGCTCAAGTGCCTTTTTCCTGTTGCCACCTAGGGATGATGTACTTTTGAATAATATGCTTTGAAATGGGTAAGATGGCTGTGATGGGGATTGTAAATGTGCCACTTCACCAACAGAGAACATTTGCAATAAGCCAGACTGGGGTGTCTCTGTACCAATACTCTATTTAATGGGGGGATCTGTTATTTTTACATTTGAAATGAGACAGTCTGACCCATAGCCATGTAATTTTGTTTTAGCAAATTGAAAGAGATCAATGAAAAAGAGAGGCAAGGTTTATAGCTAAAAATGTATCTCTGGTTACCTTCCTTTTAAAATATTGCTTTTAGACAAAGCTATTAGTTTTGAAAAATCATGTTAATTCTATTAAATGCCATTATTGCTTTTTTGAATACAAATTCTTTTTATAAAATGCATTTAGAAGGATTTGAGTTGGTTTCTTTGTCTCTACCTTTAGTATCTGTGGCAGAGGGAGTGGAGGGGGCGGGCAAATCCCACTCCAAGTGGCCCCACTCCAGGAACTCTTCCCCTGGATCATGAAAACCTCAGCACTGATTTTTTTTTTTTTTTGAAATGTTCTTGTTATTATGTGTTGAGTGTGGTTTGGGTTTGAAATATTAAAATGTCAAGATTCTATAATTTTGAATCAGGCACACCAAATAGAAAAGGGAACAAAGAGCAAGAACAACAAAACCCTTCATTCTACCACCTTTACTAGCCTTAAAATATTTAACTATATAAATAATTATTCTGAATAATAAGTGGTAATAAATGTTAATATAATAATTCATTTTTAAGAAATTGTGAAGTACAGATTAGTTTAATTGATCTTAGGTACAATAATAATTTCTGTAATTTGAGTTTTATGTTGACTATTAGCGCATGAGAATATCCTAATAATAGTTAGAAATTGAAAGTGTCTGTTACTTGGTTTCTTGAAGAAACTGAATTCTTTGAAAAGAAATGGGTCAGAATTAGGGGACTGGTACTGCCTAAGCTGGCATCATACCTGCCAGTGATTTTATAGGGGAGGTGAATTCACTAAGGTATGGACCTGCATCGGAGAAGCCTTTTTGGGAAGAGAGAAAATAAGTTAGAAAATTTAATTTTTCATTTCAGTGCAACTGAGGAAGATAAATAAATGTAAAGGATTTCTGAATTTGGACTTTGTTGTGTTTAAATAAAACAACTTTTCTGAGAAAAGTGTCAAAATTCAGAGCCCTAAGAAGAAATATGTGTATGACTTCATGATTTCATGACTGAAATTGATTTATGACTTTATTTCCTTTTCTTTAAATGTTTCCCAGGGAAAGGAAAAATTAATTGCCTGGTGTTGAAGAGATGGAGGAGGAATTAAAAAAGGGGATGTGCACTATTAGATGCTGAATGAACTGCAGGCATTTTTGTAGGTTTGACAAGATAGAATGAAGTCAATCTATTGCTTTCTAATCACATAAAAAAACCATTTAGTATGGTGGGTGGTCAGTGTTATCAGTAACTTAGTACAAATTTAGGCGTCAAAGTTGACCTCTCATAACAAAAGGCATTTTCTGGTGCTGTCTTACTGCCATTAGCTACAACTGAAATAGACTTATTTTGAGATTTTGAAACATGGAAAAGAAAAAAAAAGTAGAAATAATAAAGCTAAAGAAGTATATTTCTATTCACCCAGTGTCTCCACTGAGAATAAGTAGAAAAAGTGCTATTTTCAAAGTTGTCAGTGCCCTCCTAACTGCCAAATTTATGTAATATTTCACCTTTTTCATTATGTCTTTATTTTTAAGTTCTCATCCATGTTCTTTTTAAATTAAATATTCATGTTTAAAAGTATTATTAATAAGTAATATGCATCAGTCACTGAGATATCTCTTTATCTAGTTGCTCACCAATCCCCTTAAGCTACCCTATGATCAGCCTAAACCAAGTGGTTTTTATTTTTACTTTGTGCCCCATTATGTCATGCCTCTATGTCCTCATCTGTTCCTTTCTCTCACCCTGTATGTGTTGAAACCTTGCTCACATCAGACACTGCCTCTTCCATGAAGCTTTCCCCATACCCACCATCCTTGTATCAGATGAGTTTTTTCCCTTGTCTAAATTCCTATTGCACTTTCTGTCTTGGTCTATTCTTTAGTGTGAACCAATGCCTTGTTCTCCTAAAATAGCTCTGGAGAGCACAGGTTGTGACTGACAACTTTTTATTACCTGCAACTCATAGTATAGTGCCTAGCTACATACAGTTCTTCCTTGACTTACAGTGGGCTTACATCCCAATAAACCCATCATAAGTTGAAAATACCATAAGTCAAATGCATTTAATACACCTAACCCACCAAACACCATAGCTTAGCCTAGCCTACCCTAAACGAGCTCAGAACTCTTCTATTGGCTGGCAGATGGGCAAAATCATCTAACACATAGCCTATTTTATAATAAGTGTTGAACATCTCATGTAATTTATAGAATACTGTACTGAAGGTGAAAAAACAGAATCATTATGTAGGTACAGAGTGGTTGTTAAATGTATCGGTTGTTTACCCTCATGACCACGTGGCTAACTGGAACCTGTGGCTCACGGCCACTGCCCAGCATCATGAGAGATTATTGTACTGCTTGCTAGCCTGGGAAAAAATCCAAATTCAAAAATTGAATTGTGGTTTCTACTGAATGCGTATCTCTTTTGCACGATCATGAAGTTGAGAAATCATACATTGAACCATCATAAGTCAGGAACCTTTTGTGTATGCATAGTAGACATTCAGCAATTTGATTTTAGTGAGGAAACTGGTTATTATTTCAGGGGTATATCTCTATCTACTCTTCACCATTAGTCAAGTTCAGCTCCCAAAGTGTGTGCAAGTACTGTTTAGTTTTTTTAAAATATTTATATAATAATAAATACAGTGAAAGCCCATTCAAATAATTCAACAAAAGTTACTGATGGCTTACATGTCATTAAATGTATATTAGCTCATACATATTAAAAGTATGCTAAGCTTAACAAAACAAAACTTTTTTTCTTAAGATTTTATTTATTTATTTGACACAGAGAGAGAACAAGCAAGAGCACACACAGCAGGGGGAGTGGGAGAGAGAGAAGCAGGCTCCCCGCTGAGCAGGGAGCCCGATGCAGGACTCCATCCCAGGATGCTGGGATCATGACCTGAGCGGAAGGCAGATGCTTAACGACTGAGCCACCCAGGCGCCCCCAAAACAAAACTTTAAAGAAGATATTGTATCTGCTTTCAAGATGCTTGCATTCTACTGAAAAAGAATAAGCAGGAGAAGGTGCCTTACATATATAAGTACTTGTCCAGTTTCAAGGCACTCTGCCAGGTACTTTCCTCTGTGGTATCAAATTTCAGCTTTCTACTCTACGCTGATTTTACTTTGAGGAAACAGACTCAAAGATGTCACCTAAATGTTTAGCAGACATTCTTTCCATGTTACCATGCCGCTCTTTGAAGTGTTAAGAGGGAAGAGAAGCATTATAAAAATGCAAGGTCAGACCTATCAGAGTAGTTTAAAAATTGTTTTGTAATTAATCTTTCTAGTGTTTCTGGAACTTTTGGGTCTTAATGTCCCCTTTGATAATTCAACAAAGGCTGTGCATCTACTCCCCAAGTATACACACAAACACACACAAATACACATAGCATTTTGCATACAATTGCAGGTGTTTAAGGACCCACTAAAGCATTCCTTCGCAAATGGTTTCAGAACATCTACTCTGGGCTCACTTTGACGGTATGTGT